GAGACAGGAGAACTGCTTGAGCCCAGGTGTTCGAGTCTGTGGGGAACCTAGATCATGCCACATGTGTGTGAGCATGTGTGTTTCTCCACAAAGTCCTACATACCGGGGTACCCGTAAGCAGGGCCTGGCAGTTCCCACTGCCCAAGTCAACATGTTCCGGCCACCTGGCCTCCAGTGTGGTTTCCTGGAGCAGCCTGGAGAGACGGACAGCAAGGGCAGGAGGCCTCAGGCCATGGGAGAGCTTAGGGCCCATGCTGGCGGTCCACAGGGTCCTCCCCAACTCGCTGTCACCTACCTCCTGGGCTCCCACACGTGCTGGCACTGCCTGCGGCCCAGGGGACCCTTTCATTCGACTTCCCTTTCAATCTCAAGTCCCTGTGCCAGGTCACACACGCTCTGGGGAAACCACAACGGTGCCTGAGAGAGGAGACAGCAGATCCGGCTAGACCAGACCCCACCCCTTGTATTCTGGGGAGTTGATACTTCAAACCTTGCCACTCCTCCCTGTGTGACCCACACAGATCCCGAGTCTCTTTCCCCACTGGGCTACACATACTCAAGATTCCCATTCCAGTCAGGCAAGAAGAGCTGGACACCCTGCAGGCCCCCCTACATGCTCTCCTGGCATTTCCCCAAACCCTCCCCCAACCCAGCACACCAGGCCTTCATTCTCCTCTCCCCACCTTCCATGTCCTCCCACCAAATCCAAGCAAATCATACATGGAACTTCTTTTAGCAAACGACACTTTTTATGGTGAGCAGAGCCTTTATTCCATTTGTTACAGGAACACAATCACATTCAACAAGAACAAACAAGAGGGTAAAATGATACTTGATTTTTTTACACCAGTGACGTTCCTCTCAGTTTAACAGAGCTTTCTGAGCATCTATTCAGTGCCAGATCCAGGCAAACTCTTTTCAGCCTCAAATATAAAAACATGGAGGAAAAAAATCCCTTAAGCCAGCCTTAAGAATTGATGGTATTAAAATACAAAACAAACACTGGCCCCATGAGGATCACCGTAGTTAACAATGGAAAATAACAACAATATTAGAACTAACCAACGAATACCTACAAATATCACACAGACAATTCTCAGGTTCCAAGCAGGACCTCCCTGGTCTCCCACATCAGTGGCGGTCACAGCAACCAGAGGCCCATTTCAGCTAAAAACATCCAGCCAGGAAAAGCAGAACACCGACAGCCTGCCGCAGGCTACTGTGGTGATGTGGGCTGGAAGGCTCCCTTTGCTCTGACCCTCAAACCCTTAGTCAGGGCAGCAGGATTCTCCTGTGGAATGAGAAGACCTGAGTACTGCCGGTCAACAAGAGCCGTAGCAGGGAGGGCCCAGCTTCTGGGGAAATGGTCACAATTACCAATTTTATATTAACAAATCTAATTTACATGAAATCTCATATTCTCTAAAGTTATTTGTAGTTTAAGGGAGTGTAGCCCCAGAAAATTCCTCAGAACCCTAAAAAAAAGTTTATTATACTAAAAACTTTGGTTACTTACATTGGCATAATTAGTTATGCATATTTCTTTGATAGTGAAGCAAAGTATGCTTTGTTATCTATTCCTAAATCCTAACAAAAACTTTTTCTTGACAAATGGAAGTGAAGCAGCATTAAGACCCACCAGTTCCTGACAACCTGCAAACCCAGTCCTCCGGCTGTGTCCACAGGCCCCAGGAACCACTGATACATCTTCCACAACCCACATGAGTGCATGACAAGGACCAGCACCAGCAGGCCTCAGGCCCCTGGGGATTCAGAGTTCAGGGAGAAACTGCACTCCCACCTCTCCATGGGCCAGAGGACCTGCTCTCAACCCCAGATGGCGGAGACCACTCCTGCCCCTCCCAACCTCCACCCTTGTGGGGTAGGACACCTAGGGCAGGACAGGCAGAGAGGATTGGTTCCTTGCTAAGGAGACTCTCAGGGATGCAGGGTTGCGCAAGGGGAGCACAGGTCTCCACAGTAAGCACAGCCCGCTCACAGACTGCAGATTAAGGGACACCAAGACACACCATGAGCACCACTCTTCTGCACACCTTGCAAGTTGACATCTCAGCAGTCAAAAGCGGATTCCTTTTTTCTATTTTAAAAGGAGGTGTTCAATTAAAAATGTAAAATGTTAAGTCTAAGTCTCTTTTCATACAAACAGCACTGCCTCTATTATCATAATATACCACTTTCAAATACCAAAATGTTTTTGGAAACATACTTCAAAAGTCCCATTTCACAGTAAGCGTGAAAAGAACACCACACGCTCCTCAGCTGGAGGCAACTCTGGGCACACCCACCCTGCCCGCCACAGGCTCACAGTGCCCAGGCCCACACCAACCTGGCACCTCCCTGAAAGTCCTGGGCCTCTGCTTTGTCAAAAAAGTTGGCAGCTTACACTAGAGTTTTATGCTAGAGAAAGGTAAAAAACACAAGTTCTAATAGTTTTAAAGCTGATATTTTCACATAGCTTTATTTCCATACTATGTTAATTAATCTCTAAAGAATCTTTAAGACAGGTATTATCATGATCACTTTAGGGTAGAGAACTAAAGAAATGTGCCCAGGGTCACAGAGCCAGCACCAGTTAGCCTGGCAAACACAGACAGTGCTGGACCCCATGTCATAGCCACACTAGGCCACATCTCAGGACAAGCCACCCAGAATCCATCCAAACCAGGAGCCTAAAAAATGTCCAGATAGGAAAAAAGAATACAGCAGCATACACGGAAGAAAAGGTGATCTGAAACCTGATCTAAACTGCTCGTATTTCACTTTGTGATAAAAATGAAACAAAAAAAATGAATACTATAAACAGGAATAAAAAATGATTAGATAACCTAGAAAATTATCCTATCTTTTATTTATTTATTTGTTTTGTTTTTTGAGTTGGAGTCTCACTCTGACGCCCAGGTTGGAGTGCAGTGGCATGCTTCCGGCCACCGCAACCTCAACCTGCTGGGCTCAGGCGATCCTTCCGCTACAGCTTTCCAAGTAGCCGGAACTACAGGCATGCACTATCACAGCCGGCTAATTTTTTATTTATTGTAGAGACGAAGTCTTGCCAAATTGCTCAGGTCGGTCTCAAGCCCGTGGGCTCAGGCAATTCACCTGCCTCAGCCTCCCAAAGTGCTGGGATTACAAGCTGAGCCACCGAGCCTGGCCATTCTATCTTTTAAACCCCTGTATTGTAAAGCCAGAAAAGGTCATAGAGGACGGACCTCAGTGAGTACCTCCGGGAGGTCCAGGCCTGCCACCCATGCAGGCCATCACTCCCCCAGTTACCCGCTATGGCCCTTTCGTGGCTCAGGCGTACCTCCCTGTGGGCAGCACTGCAGGTGCACCTCCCCAGTGGTAGGCAGACCTCATGCTAAGGGTTTTCATCTTCATTCAGCCCAAATATCACAGACAAAACAACAATTAAGTCAATACTGAGTATTTACAGTTCACAAGAGTGACACATGGCATTCAACACCTTGAATTATGACTGTGGTATTGAAAAGGCCAATACTTACTATGTAATCAAACCTAAGTATCAGCCTATCTGTTGACCTCAGTCCATGAGAGCACCAGACCCATCAGGCCAACCTAGACTCTGCCAGCCAGGAGTCGCTGAATTGGTGTTTCCCTTTAAGTCAGTACATCTTCAATGGCAGAGTGCTCACGAATGAGTTAGCTTTCCACACCAAGATAAGCAACACTGTGCTCCTTCTTGTGATTCATCAAAGTCAGCACCATGCTTCCCACATGAGGCACAGCTCGCCCTCCAGGGCTTGGGGTGGCTCTCCCTGTTGCTGCCCCCGCTTTCTCCTGTGGACCTGGCCCCTCTGAGGCACACTCTGCTTACAACACTTTCAAATCCTGAAGAAAAACTCACCTCACCACAAACACACCTGGTGCCCATGCTGGCTCCTGTCCAACCACTGACCCTCCAGCAGCTGAAGACAAGTCCCGGCTTGCTGTGGAGGACAGCTCTGAGTCCCTTTCCATCAGACCTCATCCCTATTCCCAAGGAAGTACTGCACTCAAGGGAAGGAGACCAACAGTGACATTTCAAAGTGACCTGATCTAGTGGTGACCGAGATACAGGATAGGTACACCAAATTAAGAAAACTCAACAAGGAAGCAGCAAGAAAGGTTTCTTTCATGTTTGCCAGGAGTAGCAACACAAAACAGGTAATATATCTGGGGACTGTTTGCTTTAACACACTAGTATCCAGCCAAGGGAAGAACTTTCCTCCCATCTGTCATCAACTCACATATGAGAGTAAATGACCTCTGCCAGTCTCACTGTCTCTCACGAGAGGACTCATCTGTCCTATAGCAACATGAACCAGTCACGACCTAAGGCCAGAATCTTTGCAGAGACAGCTGCCCCTCCTCTCCAAAAATATGCTGCTCATCACAGGAGACAAGCAATCAGGACAAACTCGCAAAGGATCCCATTGCTTATCTGCCAACCCCACATGCTGATCTCAAGTTTCCAGGAATACCACAATGCAACAGCAGCTTGGAGCCCAGCAGCAGAGGAGACTCAGAGAAAAACATCATCAGGCCTCTGCGGCTTCCTCCCCTAGACAGTCAGAACAATTCTCAGCTACAAAAGCCACTTTCTGTATAAGTTGTTAATGCAACATGCAGAGAGCACAGATCCAATATGGCAACCACAAGCTCAGCAGTTCCCAGTCTACTGAAGATACAAATACTTAGAAATTGAGAAGTGAGCCTCTTATACAGGTTAGGCTACCATAACCTATTTAATTTTTTGGCAGAATTACTCTTGCTGTGATACCAAGGATGCTTTTAATTGACTCAAGAGAGCTCACTGCTACCACTCTATAAACACCCTAAGTGAAACAAAAGTCTAATTTTTTCGATAAAACTCTATCAACAAGCATAGGAAAGCAATGTGGAGACATATGCATTATTTTGATAATCGTTTTTACAAACCAGTGAATATAACACAAATTTATAAGGCAGAAAGCGGTATTTACCGAGTCCATAGCTGAAAGTCAGTTTCGGCGAGGACTGTATATTAAATCCAACAGAGGTATGTCCCAGAGCAGGGCTGTGTATATTCTGAAACAAGAGAGGAAAATTAGCCATGTAAATATAAATTTCAGCTTTAGTTCTTCCCACAGTTTTATTCTCTCGCCATCTGGACCAAAACATTTCCTCTACCTCCTTCCTTCGAGTCACAGAACCCACTGCCCAACTCCTGCTCCCCTTGACAAGAAGAAATGTTAAGATGGGACTGGCTGGTTTGGGGCTATAAAAGAAGCACACCCAGAAAAAGGCTCATAACGGGTGTTCTGCTTTAGGGTTATCTCATGTCTCCCACAAAGGGCTGATGGCAGGCCACGTGTGGCTGTCCACAACCAGGCTGGGCCACGTCTCCTGGAGACAGGGCCTCAGGACTAGGCTCTCTCCTGAGGAGGGGCTTTCATGGCCTTTCCACACATAGGTTTAGCTGGAGCCTGGCAGAGATCTCATAATACAATTACAAGGTGCAATGCCAACCAGAAAGGGCGCTCAGAATTCGCAATAATGCTGGTAAAGCAGAATTCACAACAGAGCTGGGTTGGAGGACACAGAAAGTTGGTTTTCAGATTTGTACCATAACAACCACAGCAACTCACATGAAACACCCACCAGAGCCCTCCAGAACACCAGCAGAGCCCACAGGCTCAGTGCCCGAGCCCCCTCTGTACTTCCCAGCTGACTGCACAGGGAAAACGGAAGGCCAGGGGCACACCAGTTAACCACTCAGTCATTCTGTGACTAACTGAAGTCATCTATTTCCATAATTCATAACCAGGAACTTAATTAAAGGCACAGAGACAATTAAAAACGTATTTTTCATCCATCAAATATTTTTACATCAAAATGCAACAATTTCAACAACGTGAATGTAAATCCAAAGTCTAATATTAAAAAAAGAGCAAAGACAGTACATACAATCTTGCAAAATCACTATAAAACCAGGTTTCAGAGGGCTCTCAAACTTCTTACACATAAGAAATCAAATAAATCAAGTAACTACTTGCCATATAAATACAAGAACATTCCCAATAAGGTGACTTTTTAAAAAGACTAATTTTAAATTTAAGAAGCATGTCTAGTTTTAAACGATAGAAAAGGTGCAGGAAAAGAGTGAGATGGTTTTCATTTCCACTGAGCATCTTAAGAAGGAAAGATTATACTGCAGTACCACAAAATAAAAAATTTTTAAAAACTGAGCAAGACTGTATAATCTCCCCGGAGAGCTTTGGGATCGTCAGGAATAAAACAAACCAATATAAATGGGGAAAAAAACAACCATCCACGCCCATTTACCACAATCCCATCCAGACATCAGGCTCTCCTCCAACTCCAAACACATCCAACGTGCAGAATCAGTAAGAGAAACACACAGTCGGGACAGCCAAGGCTCCCAGGACAGAGGATTGACTGGAGCAGGGCTCCCACACTCCGCACCTCACATCCAAGAGAGCCAAGCAGTTTCTCGATTCACATGAACAACTTGCGTACCTCAAAGAAGGAGGGAGGCTTTTTTTATCCTTATGCTCCCAGGCAAGATTATTCAAAGCTGCCATGAACCTCAAGGACTATTCAATACAAATGTGAATGAGCAATTTCCAATCGCCACACAGCCTGGTTCTCATGAAAAACATCAGGTATGTCAGGAAGCTTTCAGCAGAACAATTTAGAGTGTGGGGCCAGGTATGGTGGCTCAAGCCTGTAATCCCAGCACTTTGGGAGGCCAGAGTGGGAGAATCACTTGAGCCCAGGAATTTGAGACCAGCCTGGGCAACATAGCGAGACTGTATTTCTATAAAAAAAAATTTTTGTCTAATTATCCAGGCAGGTGGCACACACCTATAGTCTCAGCTACTTAGGAGGTTGAGGTGGGAGGATCCCTTGAGCCCAGGAGGTTGAGGTCTCAGTGAGCAGTGAATACACTGCTGTGCTCCAGTCTAGGCAACAGAGTCAACACCAGGAACATGACAAATAGCAACATTGACTGTTAGCACTGGGAAGGAGACAGGGTTTTTTAATTTTATTTTATTTTATTATTTTATTTTATTTTGGAGTCTCACTCTGTCGCCCAGGCTGGAATGCAGTGGCATGATCACGGTCATCACAGCCTCAACCTGCTGGGCTCAGGCAATCCTTCTGCCTCAGCCTTCCAAGTAACTGGAACTACAGGTATGTGTCACCACGCCTGGCTAATTTTATGATTTCTTGTAGAGATGACATCTCGCCAAGTTTCCCAGGCTGGTTTTGAGCCTGTGGGCTTAGGCAATCCTCTCACCTTGGCCTCCCAAAGTGCTGGGATTATAGACGTGAGCCACCACACCTGGCCCAGTGCACCTTTCATCCAATGATTCTCAAACCCAGTGCCACTGACATTTGGGGCCAGACCCTGTACACACAGCAGGGTTGAGCAATGTCATCTCCTGGATGCCAGCAGGATCCTTCACTACGTGACAACCAAAAATGTCTGCAGCAATATTCCAAGTACCCTGAAGGGCAAAACAGCCTGGTGAGTACTACTGCTTTAATCCAACTGCTGTTTCATAGGAAGAAACTGGGCCTCAATAGGGAAAGGCAGATAAAGGCAAGTATTCTGCTGTCTAGAGTCATTCAGGGTATTAAAAGCAAGGGGAAAACAAGTCAGGTCTTCTAAACCCTGGTAAGGATCTTCTCATTCTAACAAAGAAAAATACCCTAGCAGCAGACTCCATTACTTCCAAAAGACAATAGAAACCAAGAACCTCTAAAATATTTGGAATAAACATTGAAGAAATATTCTAAGATATGAAAAAGACTTCATTTAGCACACATGATCACATTAAAACCACCACCAGGCCAGGCTTGGTGGCTCAGCCTGTAATCACAGCACTTTGGGAGGCCGAGGTAAGTGGACTGCCTGAGCCCCTGGGTTCGAGACCTGCCTGGGCAGCTTAGCGAGACCTCATCTCTACAATAAATCAAAAATCAGTCAGGCATGGTAGCGCGCGCCTGTAGTTTCAGCTACTCGGAAGGCTGAGGTGGAAGGATCGCCGGAGCCCAGCAGGTTGAGGCTGCGGTGGCTGGGAGCGGCTACTGCACTCCAGTCTGGGTGACAGAGTGAGACTCCAACTCAAAAAAAAACCAAAAAAACAAAAAAACACCACCACCACCGCCACCACAATAAACAAGCTATGTTGTCAAAAAGAAACATGCCAGGCTGCCCTTTTTGCTGTCTGCACACAGGTACAGCAGTGACTGTATCCACAGATCAGGAGTGCACATGTCTATGGAGACTGATGAGACACAGACCATGGAGCCCAAAAGTCAACATGTGATGAAGGCACTGGGGAATCAGGAAGGGGATGACCATCTGCTCATGTCTGGGGATGGCCGTCATCATGTGTGCGCAGCCTACAAGGAGAGGTTCCCACTTAAGGGATGGGCACTAAGGCCATGATGATAGCCCCAGGTGCTGATGAAGCTTGCTATACAATCTGTGCAAGAGAAGTCAGGGAACATCTTTAACATGACCAGTCTCTGAATGGGCATCTCTGAATGGTGGAGCATTGCAAGATGTTACATTTATCTTTCTGCTCCATCATATCTCACCAACTCTTTTCATTAGTGACATATCACATTAGGAATAGAGGGAAAAATGTTTTTCAAATGCCACTGAGTACAAAGTTATAGTTATATAGGAAGAATAAATTCTAGGCCAGGTGCGGTGGTTCATTCCTATAGTCCCAGCACTTTGGGAGGCTGAGGCAAGAGGGTCATTTGAGGCCAGGAGTTTGAGCCCAGCCTGGACAAATAGCAAGATTGTGCCCTATAGACAATTTTAAAAATTAGCTGGGCAAGGTGTCTTGCATCTGTAGTCCCAACTACTCAGGAGGTTAAGGCAGGAAGATTGCTTGAGCACAGGAGGTCGAGACTGCAGTGAGCTATGATAGTGCCACCACAGTCCAGACTGGTCAACTACAGCAAGGCCTCAACTCAATTAAAAAAAAAAAAAACTTAGGCTGGGCATGGTGGTGCACACCAGTAGCCCTAGCTACTCCCGAGACTGAGGCAGAAGGATCCCCCTGAGTCCAAGAGATTAAGGCTGTGATAGCCCATAATCATGCCACTGCATTCCAGCTTGGGCGAAAGAGTGAAACCCCAACCAGAAAAAAATTTAAAAAACTTTCTTTAATAAAAATACTGTTTAAAAACCATGTCTTTATATTATAGGGCACAGAAAGTAGCAAGACTGTAAGACTAACATAAGGCAAAAAAAGGGGGGGAGTGGTTGAGCATGGTGTTCTATTAAGCAGAGTAACTACAGCTAGTAGTAAGGTATAGAATATTTCAGAACAGTGAGAAAAAGTACACTCGAGTGCCATCCCCACGCAGACACTATGAGTGTCTGAGATGACCATGCTAGCAGTCCTGGTCTGATCAGCATACCACATGAACACGTACTGAACACCACACTAGACCCATCACCACGAATAACTGTTATGTGTCAGTTATAAATAAAATTATTCATTTGACTTATTTTAGACAGGATCTCGCTCTAGGCTGAAGTGCAGTGGCACTGGCATAGCTCACTGCAGCCTTGAACTCCCCTGGGCTCAAGCAATCCTTCTTCAGTCTCCCCAGTAGCTGGGACTCCAGGGGAATGCCACCACATGCAGATAGAGACAGGGTCTCACTATGTTGCCCAGGCTAGTCTTCAACTCCTGGCCTCTAGCAGTCCTCCTTTGTCTCTCAAAGCACTGGGAATACAGACATAAGCCACCATGCCCCACCCCAAAATGTTTTAATGACAAGTAACAATGTGGTATTCAAACTAACCCAACCTCATCTTGCTTCTGCCTAAGAATCTCCATTATACCCTCCACTTGGAAGGCTGAGGCGGAAGGATCGCCAAAGCCCAGCAGGTTGAGGCTGCAGTGGCCAGAAGCGGCCACTGCACTCCAGTCTGGGTGACAGAGTGAGACCCCGACTCAAAAAAAAAAAAAGAATCTCCATTATAAAATCAGCTTTTGAAAGGAGAAAATCTTTGCTGCATGACGAGAGCGT